ATTTATTTATAAAAAAAATAAATAAATATATTTCGTAATATTTAGTTAATATATTTAGTCATAAATTTTTTCATTGCCTTTTTTTCGCATATAATATTGAAATAGAGAAATAAAAAAAGTTTTTTGCGAAAAAATTTTTTTCCGTGATTCCCTAAACGAATAATATAAAATCAAAGTGTTTGCTATATGTGATTAAGAAAATAAAAATATTGTTAACCTCTTGATCGGAGTCATAAGATTATTAATACAGTAATCAGTCAGTTACATGACAACATTATCATAATGATTATGATAATAAGTATAGCTTCTTACGGTAATTCAAAATTTCTTATATATTATACAAACTCATTATCGCTCTCTTCAAGATTTTTGTCTCTCTCGAGAATAAAATTAAAATGAATAATAATTTTTGACAATTTTTTTTTTATATACAATTTTTTCAATAACAGAACAATATGAAAAATAAAGAAAACATAAAGAAAATAAAAAAAATATATATTAAAGGTATAGCCCCATTTATAAATTAATTAATTAATTTAAAAAAAATAGACTTTTTTATCTCCATTTACGTTTTAACTATTTTTAATTATATATTTTTCCTGGTCAAGATAACGGTAAAAACTTTTGTGATAAAAAATATTTTTGTTGTATTCACTGTATATGATCAGATTTCATAAAATAAATAAATAAATAAAATTTAACGTAATTTCAAATACCTGGTTTGTAAAATAAAGTTGAAAACAAAAAAAAAAAAAAATTCCCGACTATTTTTTTTAGTTAAAATTTATTCTTTTATATTATACAAATAAAACAGAAACTTAATTTTTTATATATACTAATAATTTTTGAGTGAAACTATAGTCATGAATTTTTTTTTTTAACTATATCAGACAAATAGATAGTAAAAGAGACGCAGATAAAAAAACAAATTTAGATAAAATTTTAGACAAAAATTTTATATATATTTGGATTATAAAGGAACCATGTATTAATCTTTCAAGAAACCTGAGATATACTTTTTTTTATTCAATCTAGAAATCAAAAATAATTTATTCTCCTTTTATCAATCCAATGAATAAATTACAGTATTTTTAATACGCACTTTAGTTAAAATATCTCGATTTAAAAAATTTTAAATGTTTTTTTTTTAGAACATATATGAAAAAAAAATTATACAAACAAAATTTGTTTCTCTGCAAATTTATATACAATATTATTTTCCCTGTTTTATAAATATTTATTTAATTAATATATTATTTTATTATTACTTAATTTAATAAATTATAGAATTTTAAATAATTATAATATAAAATAAAAAAATATTTTTTATTTATATTTATCAGTTACTATATTGAAAAAAATATTTTCCTGTATTTGATTAAAATAATTTAAATGAAAAATATAAAAAATAAAATATTTTTTTTTTGTAAATTTTTTATAATTGAAAAAAAATACTTTAACATAAATCAATAAAACAAAATAATTACATAGAAAAAAAAAAAGGAATGATGAAATTCTAATAAAATACGATCAGAAGCCACGCGCCATGAATAGTTTTTTAAATATTCGGAGAAATAAAACTATACGAGATTATAATTCATCGAGTTTATTGCATCAGTTATAAGATGCGTAAAAAGTTGACGAAACTTAGGAAATACATGATAATTCAAATAACACTTGTAATGACACAGTTTTTTTTCTGCGTATCAAAATAATTTAAAATTAAATAAATAATGGAGAGAGAGAGAGAGAGAGGAAAAAAATATCCGTAAAACAAAATTGTAAAATTCAATTATTAACGTAGAATAAAATGATTTTGCATTAAAAAAAAAAAAAAAAAAACAATCTAAGGTCATTCTACCTCATTCATTCATTCATTCATTTATTAATTCCATTCGATTGAAACTGTAGGTTATCCTTACATCATTATCAACGCAGAACCGTGACCCTTAAGTAGGCCAGACACGCGACTTATAAAAAAAAACATGACACAATTTATTAACAAGTGTATTGGGAAAATTTAAATACGTCAAAAATTGTTTTTTTTTCCTGTTAAAAAGAAAAATTATTTCTTTAACAATTTTATTATTTTCTTGGAATTATTTTTTTTCGATAAATTATTATGTTTAAAAAAATAAAATATTTTTTATCTTAAACCTATAGTTGTTTTAATTGTTAACATTTTTTCTTTTTAATTATTTTTTTAATATTTGCGATCATTTATTTGCTTCTGTATAAATGCTATGTAATTTTCTTATATAGATGATGTACAGAGAATATTAGAAATTTGCAAATTGTAATCGATATAAAAACAAAAATGATAATTTCTTTTTAATGTGCTTTGTGTACTGTATTTTTTTTAATCAACATTCGTTGAAAAAATAATTATCATAACAATTATTATGTCAGTATAAATTGAATTGTTTACTACTGCGTGAAATGAAAAACATTTTTACACGTCACATTTATTCATAGGCACGTCATTTCATTCAACGAAATAAAATATGTTACACATTATGTAGATATAAATATACGACCTTAAAAATTATATATTTAAAAAAAAACAATTACTCTCAACAATAACAAATAGAATTTTCATTAGGAAAATTGGCAATCAATTATTGTTTTTCTACGCTCACGAACAACAAATTATATAGAGTATTGTAAATTTATTTTGTTATTTTTTTTAAATAATTTTTCTAGGAAAACATATTTTTGCTTGTTTTAAGAGAAATCTCGGGGTATCATTCAACGGAAGACTAACAAGTATTGATTCTACTTAAACAAAATTATGAATAAAAATTTAAACAAGTTTTTTGGTGAAAAAATTATTTTGAAAAAAGTATTGTTCGACATAAACAAATTTTTATGTTCAAGAGAATCGAAACTAATGTTTATGTTATATAGAACATTGTCCAACATAAACAAAGTTTGTTCAACATAAACAAACGTTTGTACAACATAAACAAAAATTTGTCCAACATAAACAAAAGTTTGTCCAGCATAAACAAAAGTTTGTACAACATAAAGAAAAGTTTGTTCAACGCAAAAACAAAAGTTTGTCCAACTTAAACAAAATTTTTTCCAACATAAACAAAAATTTGTTCAACATATTCAAAAGTTTGTCCAACATAAACAAAAATTTGTCCAACATAAACAAAAGATTCTCCAACTTAAATAAATTTTTGCTCAACATAAACAATTGTTTATTGAAGTTAAACTAATGTTTATGTTATGTTTGACAGTGTTATACATAAACAAAAGTTTGTCCAACATAAACAAAAGATTGTCCAACATAAACAAAAAATTGTCCAACATAAACAAAAGATTGGCCAACTGAAATAAATTTTTGCTCAACATAAACAAATGTTTTTCGAAGATAAAGTAATGTTTATGTTATGTTTAATGGTGTTATACATATACATAAACAAAAGTTTGTCCAACATAAACAAAAATTTGTCCAACATTAACAAAAGTTTGTCCAACATAAACAAAAGTTTTTTCAACATAAACAAAAGTTTGTCGAACACAAACAAAAAATTCTCCAACTCAAATAAATTTTTTCTGAACATAAAAAAATGTTTATTGAAGTTAAACTAATGTTGATGTTATGTTTAATGGTGTTATACATATATACATAAACAAAAGTTTGTCCAACATAAACAAAATATTGTCCAACATAAACAAAATATTGATCAACTGAAATAAATGTTTGCTCAGCATAAACAAATATTTTTCGAAGATAAACAAGAATACAACATAAACTAATGTTCAACATAAACAAATGTTTGTCCAACATAAACAAAAGTTTGTTCAACATAAACAAACGTTTGTACAACATAAACAAAAATTTGTCCAACATAAACAAAAGTTTGTCCAATATAAACAAAAGTTTGTCCAACATAAACAAAAAATTGTCCAACATAAACAAAAGATTGTCCAACTGAAATAAATTTTTGCTCAACATAAACAAATGTTTTTCGAAGATAAACTAATGTTTATGTTATGTTTAATGGTGTTATACATATACATAAACAAAAGTTTGTCCAACATAAACAAAAGATTGTCCAATTGAAATAAATTTTTGCTCAACATAAACAAATGTTTTTCGAAGATAAACATGAAAACAACATAAACTAATGTTTATGTTATGAACATTGTTATACATAAATAAGTTTGTTCAACATAAACAAATATTTTTTTGATGTTAATCAAAAATTTTCTCATATCATAAATTAAAAAGTTACAACAAAATATTTATTAACATAAACAAATGAAAAACAATTAAAATTAATTACCAAGTTGTACACGAAAAAAATATTTACTTGAAAGAGTGAAACATTTCATTATAGTAGCAAAAGTTTCAGGTAAATATTTTTTCCTTGTATTTAATTTTTGTTAGAAATTTTTTTTTTCAATTTACAATGAAAATAATATATATATATATATATTTTTAATCGGCGCAATTCAACAAACAGTACAAATTTTGTCTTTAAACAAATTTGTTTGCGCACTTTCAATTGAATTGTGATATTTTCTATATAATTTGTATTATATAAATTTTGCCACGTTTATTAGTTAAATTGTATCTTCAATCTGTATAAATATTAAACAAGTGGATGAAGGGTGAGAGAGAAAGAGAGAGAGAGAGAAAGGCAAAATGCTTGTAATTCATTTAGCCCAAACAAAAGCCATTATCGTTGATTTAACCATTTGACCTGTTTTATGGGAGGGAGAGGGGAGAAGTTAACCATATTATTTTATATTATATTAAAGTAATGTTAACTTGAAAATTGCTATATGAATTGGTGCTGATGAAACAAAAACTCTATATATTTTTGAGAGGGAGAAATTTAATGTATAACCATCAACAATTTATGCCGCAATGTTTTGTTTTGAATGTATATATATATATATATATATGTATACACATGTATAGTAACTTTATCTGACGCAACGAATGCCTTCGCTTAAATATAAAAGCCGTCGAAACCAAGCGGAGTGTCAGTATTGTCAAGTAGATGCCCTCGAAGTCAACCGCAATTTTTTTTTTTGCAATTTTTTGTTTTTGTTTGTGTTTTGTTTTCCAATAGTGAATAATATATTTCACGAATTTTTCGATAAATTTTTTTTTTTCTAAAGAAAAGAGAAGCAAAAAAATTTGCGTTAATTTTTAATAATTTTTTTTGTTTAATTAATAAATTTGAGTAGAAAAAAAGTGAGAGAAATTTTGGTATTTTTCTTATTTTTTTTTTTTTTCCTTTTTGTGGGGCGAAAGTGGGGAAAATTAGTTTCGTTACAATTTATTAGTCTTTTGTCTTGGGATCTTTTCATTTGAACACCAACGACAAAATGATAAAAGGCAAAGAAAAGTTTAAACTGGACTACGCTGAGTTTAAAACAGAAGTTGCTAAGCAAAGACGCTCAGCAGCCACGAGAGAATTAAGTAAGTGAAATGGACCAAAATTTTTCACAGGGAAATTACATCACTTTTTTTCTTAAAAAAAAAAAAAAAAAAATACGAATTTACAAATTTTCAATTTGTAAAAATAAATATAAAATAAAAAAAATATAAAAAAAATTCAATTATTGTAAATATTATTTAAATTTTTTACAATAATTACTCATTAGATAAAAAATGTCCTTACGATTATATCGCATTTTCAAAATGATAATTTATATTTGATAATTAATTGCTATTAAATTATTTTTAATTATCATCATTAAATTATTCCAATTACAATTGTAATTAAGGTTTTAAAGTATTCCATAATTATTTCGTGGAATAATAAACTTTTTTTTCAATTTTATTAATATTTCCCATTTTTTTTTAAATTAGTGGAAAAAATATTCAGTTTTTTTTTCTTTCTAAATTATTCCTTTTATAAAAAATTATTTACCTTTCTTAAATTGATAATGCAAATTTTTATTTGATAAAAAAAATTTTTTTAAATGAATTTTTTGAAATGAAATCGAATTCAAGAAACATTTACCGTTCGACACACTTGGTAGGTTAATAACCGGTTAAAATATCAAGTGATTGGAGAAAACGTGAATAAATTAACGCGCTGGCAAACGAAAAACCAGTTTTCTACACTCCTAGTTTATTATATAATTTATATTTGACGGAAATTAGTTTAAAAATTAAAAAAAAAAAAAAAAATTCTTTCAATTTCCTCTCCTTTTGTAATTTGTTGTATATATAATGGAATAATAATTTTATTATTAATTATGAATATATAATAATTATTCATTTGAGAAAATTCATTTGATTTTAGCAAAGATTGCTTACTCGGCACCTCATAGTGTAATTTCCTTAGCTGAGGGAATGCCAAATGAGGAAACTTTTCCATTTACGGAAATCACTGTCAAATTGAAAGATGGAGTGAAATTTACTCTTGATGGTGAAGATTTGGGTGCATCACTTCAATATATTCCAAGTCAAGGTTATCCACCATTATTAGAGGTTGGTAAAACAAAAAAAAAAAAAAATTTAAATAAAAAAAAATTTTTTAATAAAAAAAAAAAATAATTTTAAATAAAAAATTCTTTTTTCTGAAATTTTCTATTTTCAGATATTAAGAGATTTTCAAAGAAAAGCACATGCACCACCCCTATGGGAAAGTCGAGACATCGTGATAGTTGCCGGGGGTCAAGATGGACTCAGTAAATCGCTCGAAGCCATAATTGGTTACGGGGATCCAATTCTGGTTCAGGATCCGTTTTATCCTGGCGCTGAAGTTGTGGTAAATTTTTCCACCTAAATTCTCCTTATTTATATATATATAAAAAATGAAAATGATTTCTAAACTAATTTTTCCAAAATAATTTTCTTACTATCTTGAAATTTTTTTCTTTAAATAATTATATGTAGTAAACCTAATTTATTTTATCGCAAAATTAACCTTTTCCATTTGTTTCTTTCTTTTTTTTTGTGAATCACTTCCGGTAGTTTTTTTTTTGTTCTTTGTTTCTTCTTTTATTTATTTCTTCTTTTATTTGTTTATTTTCTTTATTTCTTCTTTTTTATTACTTCGTTAATTTTTAAGTTTTATGAAATTTTTTATTCTTCTTATTTCTTCTTTTATTTGTTTATTTTCTTTATTTCTTCTTTTTTATTACTTCGTTAATTTTTAAGTTTTATGAAATTTCTTATTCTTCTTTATTTTTTTATTTTTTATGCGTTTTTTAAAAATATTTTCCATGAAAAATTCCAATCGCGCCGAGAAGCGAACCCACGTCTATTATCTTTAGCCTGTTGACTACTTTACCATTTGAGCCAACGACTTATTTTAATTTCCAACTAATTTTTACAAATATCCGTAACACTTTTTTTAGGTTTCTAGTAACTTTTTTGCACTTTTTTTTTATCCCTTGCTTTTTTTTCTGGCTTCTTTTGAATAAAGGAGAAAATTAATTTAAAAAAAAAAAAAAATACAATTTAGATTGCACCTCACTATGCGGAATTGATTCCAATTCGTCAAGACGAATATGGAATTGAACCTGATTTTTTACGTGAAACATTAAGAGAGAGAGAATCGTCGGGGAAAAAAATGCCAAAAATGATGTACATTAATGCAACTGGCGCAAATCCTACAGGAACAGTTATACCATTGGAAAGGCGAAAGGAAATATACAGGATAGCCTGCGATTACAATTTCCTGATCCTTGACGATGATCCTTATCATTTTATGTACTTCACCGAGGCAAGTTTTATACATATGCGTATAAAAACAAAAAATTTTCTTATCGCAATAACAATTTTTATAAAATAATTTGTTTATAAAATAATTTGTTTATAAAATAATATTTTGAATATAAAATAATATTTTATGAATAAAATTTTTTTTTTTTTTGCAATTAAAATTTGCAGGAGGCGCCAAAATCATTTTTATCCTTGGACACAGAAGGAAGGGTTATTAGAATAGATTCATTCTCAAAAGTATTGAGTAGCGGTCTTAGAATAGGTGTGATAACAGCTGCAGCTCCTTTGGTAGCTAGTGTGGAATTACATATGCAAAGTAGTCATCTTCATGCGCCTACTTTATCGCAGGTATATATATATATCTATACGTCAAGGAAGTTACTTACGAAAATAATTATAATTATTTTCCCTCTCTCTCTATATATATATTTAAAATCCATTATCGCAATAGGAAAAATAAAATTAACCGTTTTTACACGTCACAAGACAATAATTATATATATTAATCATGACGATAATTATTATTTTTCAACAATAAAAAGCCGATAACCCCATATATTTTGTTTACAAAGAAAAAAGAATTTTTCTTTTTTAAAATTACAATTTTTTTTGAAATTTTACAAATTTTTTCTAAAAATGAAATTTATAATTAACAAAATTTTGTTTGAATTTAAATTTATTTTCAAATCAAAGTTTATTAATATATATATACATCTCATCACCCCGTGGCAGAAAAATCTAAATGCATCTTGAGGCGCGTGTCAATTTATCTTTTGCGCAGAAGCGTGAACAAATAAGTGATTATAATTATTATTAATGGTAATTGATAACGAGGAAATAATATTGAGAAAATTAATGATCGTTTCTTTTTTTTTCTATTTACTATAGGTGATACTATATCAATTACTCAAGATATGGGGATACGATAGAATGATGGAACATTTTCGAAGTATAAGATCCGTTTATAAAGAGCGTAGGGAAATTATGGTGTCACTTGCGGAAAAACATTTAAGTGGTTCGTAATTTATTTAAACATTAATTAATTCATTAATAATTAATTTAATTCATAATTAAATTAATTCATAATTAAATTAATTCATAATTAAATTACTTCATAATTAAATTAATTCATAATTAAATTAATTTCTAATTTAATTAATTCATAATTTAATTAATTCATAATTTAATTAATTGACTGATTAATGAATTGATTAATTAAAACAGTAAAAAGATACAATTACATTTATTACTAATATATAGAAAATAACGGAATTTTTATTTCATAAAATTTTTATTTAGAATTTAATTTAGTCAAATTATCAATTAAAGAATCCAAAGAATTGATTTCCATGAACCAAATATAATATATATTTGAGTTAAATAAACGTATATTTTGTCTCAGAGACTATTAAGTCCATTTATTTGGCGTAAAAAAAATTATTTATTTAAATCAAATAAAAATTTCTTTTAATCAAATAAAAATTTCTTTCCATCAAATAAAAATTTCTTTGAATTAAATAAATATTTATTTGGCTCTCGAGAAATTAAGAATAAAATTTTTTTTTAGGTTTAGCTGATTTTAATCGTCCGAGTGCTGGATTTTTCTTATGGATTAAAGTCCGTGGTATTAATGACACATGGAAAATGGTTATGCAAAGAGGAGTGACACACGGTGTCCTTATGGCTCCAGGAGCAGCATTTATGGCCGATCCTTCCAAACCTTGCAACGCCATCAGGGCGAGTTTTGCTAAAGCTTCATACAATGAAATGAATTTGGTACGTGTTTTATCATCTAAGTAATGAAATTTAATTTTTTTTTTTGTTAATTTTAATTAAAAATCAAATTTTTGTAATATTAAATTTTTTTATTAAATATTTAATTAAATTATTAATGTTTATTGAAAGTTTTAACTAAAATATATTTAATTAAAATTTTTTAACTAAATTACCAACTAAATTACCAACTAAACTTTAATAATAAATTTCATAAATAATTAAATATTAATAAAAAATAAAAAAAAAAAAATATTATACTTGAAATCAAATTTTACAAATTTTCAATAGAAAAAATAGAAATAAAATTAAATATTTTAATAGAAATTTAATAAGAAAATTCATATTAATAATATTTTCTTTTTCAGGCATTGGAAAGATTGGCAACGCTAATAAAAAATGAATTATCTTTAAATCAATTGATATTAAATGGTAATACGTGAAGAAAATTTATAAAAATACCGACTATAGTTACAAAAGGAGATGTACTTAGAAAGGATAAATTCACCTTTTATGGGGTGAAATTTTCCCTACAGTCGATAAATGCTTCCACGTGTGTTCACAATTACCGACAGTGGGTGAAAGAACGATGTGAATTTCGACATATTTTTCAAACGGTAATTAAATGATTAAAAAGTATTCTACACTATCGTTTATTGAAATTTAAATAAATAATCGATTTAATTTTGTTAATTAAAAATAAAAAAAAAAAAAAAATTGTAAATTATTTCCAAAACTATTGAATTTTTAAACAATTTTTAATTAAATATATTATTTTTCAATTAGAGAATTTGAATTTTGAATAGAAAAAACAATTATTAAATAATAAATTATTAATTTTGATTGTTTTAATGTTATTTAACTAATTTTATTTTTTTCAACTTGTTTTTATAATTTATTTGCAATATTTTTTCTCGTGACTACGACTATTTCATTTGTTAACAAAATTCGTTTATTTATAACAATAAATATATCAGATTATCAAAAATTACTTTTTGGAAATAAATAATTTTTAAAAATATTGTATTTAAGAAATCAAATTTGATTTTTAATTTGTAGAATTGAAAATTTTTTTTTTTTTATATAAAAACAATAATTATTTTAATACACGTTTTTATAATTAATGACACCGAATTACTGCCAACATATTATATATTCGTGTACTTTAAAATTGTATAACTTGACTTGACAAATAAAAATTGTCCAAAATATTTTTATTATTTTATTTAATATATGATCCTTTTTTTGACAATAAATATTTTCTTTTTTTTTTAATAATAATAATAAAATAAAATTTAGTGCGTTTTGAAAATATTTTTTTCTTGAATTTCGATTTGAAATGAAATTAAAAGAATTGAGCGTGCATGTATTTATATCAAAAGGAGTGTTTTCTATAGTGTTAGTGGTAGATAAAGAGAAGGAAGCATAGGGAAACTAGACTCTCTCACTTAAGGCTAAACATCTGAACTACCAATTAATTTAGCGGAATTAATTTAATCTGCCGCAATATAAGCAGACAAGATACGTTCTGCGACTATCTCAACGTTACTAGTGGCCTACTTTCTCTCTCTCTCTCTCTCTCTCTCTCTCTCTCTCTCTCTCTCTCTCTCTCTCTCTCTCTCTCTCTCTCTCTCTCTCTCTCTCTCTCTTTACTTTTTTTTTTCTTTGAAAAAATAAAATCGTAAAATAAGCAATTTCTTAAAATCCAATAAATTTATGTTACAATTCCTCAAGGTTTAAAAAAAAAGGAAACGATCATTTTTTTTTTTTTTTAATTGAAAAAAGTACTCTCTAAATCTGAATTAGTAAAAATTTTCAGTTTTACTAATTCATTAGTAAATTTTAACTACGTATTAGTTAAATTTAATTTACTGTTATTATTATTATTATTATTATTAGTATTATTATAAATATTAAATTTTACTAATTAATTCGTTTTTTTTGCTAATTCATTAGTAAATTTTAGCTAATTCGTAAAGAAAAATCAGTCTCATAAATTAGTTACAAAAATCTTTATCAGATTTAGAGAATTATTTGAAAAATTAATATTTTTAAAAAAAGAATAAAAAAAATTTTTTTTTAGCTTTATATTTGAGAAATTTTTTATTTCCCCCCCTTTCTTTTTAATTACAAAATTATTTTAAATATTAATTTATTTTTTTTTCCTCCTATACCGATAAAACAGATTGGAATAAACGAGGAATATTTAGTACACGCGAGAGTTTGTTGTCTTTCCGTAAATAGTGTGTCAGATTTAATGTTGTACGAATTTTAGGCGCGCCGGAAAAAAAGAGAGAGAGAAAAAAAAATAGGGAATCCTAAGTCTCGTTGAAGATATACTGTATATTAAAAGAAGTTTCAGAGAGGGGGCGGGTGGGGGAGGGTGTGATTTCCCAGTGAAAGAGGGTCGAACACACGACCGATCATACGAATGACCACATTTTCGTTCAACAGGGATTTTAGGAATAAACGCGGCAGTTTTCACACTTTTTCCTTCAAAGATGCGCGTCTTTATAAAAAAAAAAAAAAATAGTATCGGAAATATTACGTATTTGCAAAAATTGCAAAAAAAAAAAAAATTATTTGCAAAAAAAAAGAATTTTATTTTAAATTGTTATTCCTTTTTTTGGAAAATAGAAATATGTACCAAATTTCAGTACTCTCGGTCAAAATGGCTAGACTCTAGAAAACATCGATTATCAGTTACCCACTTGGAAATATTCCCCGGAAAGTGCCCCCTGGAGGTTCTATCAGAATTCCGCCGGAACTTCCAACGAAATGCCGTCCAAAGAATTTCCGATGGGATTCCGACGGAATTCTGACAGAATTCCGATTAATTTTTTTCAAAATTTTCCAACGTAATTCCATCGGAATTCCATCGAAGTTCCAAAGAATTTCCGATGGGATTCCGACGGAATTCCGACGGAATTAGGAATCTAAAAATTTTGAAAAAAATTAATCGGAATTCTGTCAGAATTCCGTCGGAATCCCATTGGAAATTCTTTGGACGGAATTTCGTTGGAAGTTCCGGCGGAATTTTGATAGAACCTCCAGGTGGCACTTTCCAGGGAATCTTTCCAAGTGGTTTAAATTTTTGCTGATAGTTCGTTAACAAAGTCATAAAAAAAAAATTCTGTAAATAAAAGAAAAGAATTTTTGTACCAAATTTCTGTTATCTAGGTCAAAATGGCTAAAATCTAAAAACCACGGTTGTTGGATAAATTTTTCAAACTATTTTCTAGACAAAATTTTCAAAAATAAATTACAATTTTGAAAATTCTGTAAATAGATAAAAATAGAAATATATACCAAATTTCAGTACTCTCGGTCAAAATTGCTAGACTCTAGAAAACATCGCTTATCAGTTAAATAGTTTCGATATTTCGTCCAAAAAAAAAAAAAAATTGAAATTTCGAAAATTAAGTAAAAAAAAAACAATTTTTGTCACAAAGAAAGTTATTAATTTTTTTTTTCATTGTTAAATCTGAGAGAATTTTTCAAGAAAAAATTGAGTAAAAATGTAGGTGTGTATGTATATAATATATATATAGATTGTGTTGAAGTTGAAAAGCAGAGTAAGAGAGAATGTGTATTTTCGCACACATGAAAATAATTTTTCAATGTGTGTGTGTATATATATAGAGCGAGGAACGGGCAAAACACAAGACACAGAATAGCGAGATAGTAACGGTGGTGGCGAGGTAGCGGCGTCACCACGGAAATCAAGAGTAATGCCAACACGAAACTGCACTACCCCTCGCCCCTGTGCCAAAACCCCCCATCCACACGATCCCTTCGAGCCACCCTTCGTCCCACCTCGACATTTCTCCGCCACCTACTACTACCGATCTCACTCTCTCCCCCGGGGAATAACCCCCTTTGCCAACCTGCCTATATATATATATATATATATATATATACTCTCTGAGACACAGGATCGCATGCCACTGCTATTGTGTTTGTATATGTTTGTTGAAATCTATATAATACTGATATCCTTTTGCCAAAGAGAAATAAAATAAAAAAAAATTATTTTTTTTGTAAATAAAGAAATTTTTTTTATTAATATTAGTAGATAAAGTCAGTTTTAGTCAGACAAATTTGTAGTTAAGGGATTTTTGTCTGACAAAATTGTTTTTTGAATCTTCTACTTTGAAATTAGTGATAAAAGGAAATTTTTAGTTCGACAAAATTGTTGAGAAGGTGCTGATATAATTTTATAAATCAGTGATAAAAGCAAGTTAAAGTCAGACAAAATTTATTTTAATTTACAACTAATTTTAAAAGTAGTAAACAAATTTTTTGGTCAGGCAAAAGTATACAAAAATTAGTAGTAGTATTTAGTAATTAGTAGTAATAATTAGTAGTAGTAATTAGTAGTAAAAGGAATTTTCAGTCAGACGAAACTGTCCATAAGATGGTAATAATTTTTATAAATATCAGTAGAAAAAACTAGTAATAGTTAGGACAAATTTTTTTTTAAATACCTAATTCCATGTAATAAAAATACTTAAATACTTTTTCAAAAAAAAAAAAATAGTAAAGAAATATTTTTGGTCAGGCATAAATTGTTTAGAAGGTGCTGATAATTTTTTAAATCAGTAGTAGAAGCAAGTTAATGTCAGACAAAATCTTTAAATTTACACACAATTTCAAAATAAGTATAGTAAAAACAAATTTGGTCAGTGAAAATTGGTAATTTTTACATTAGTAGTAAGAGGAATTTTTAGTCAGTCAAAACTGTCTATAAGGTGCAAATAATTTTTATAAATATCAACAAACTAGTAATAGTCAGACAAAATTTTTAATGTAACTAATTTGTAGTAATAAGAACACATAAAAAAAGTGGTATAATAATTTTTGGTCAGACAAAATTAAACAAAATTAATAATTTAAAAATTAGTAGTACAGGGAATTTATAGTCAGACAAACGGGGAAATTGAAATCTACATAGTACTAACATACATTCGCCTTATTAATACATAGAAATTAACCAAAAAAAAAACATTATTTTTTTGTAAATAAACAAATTTTATTATCAATATCAGTGGATAAAGTTAGTTTTAGTTAGATAGAATCGTAATAAAGGGATTTTTGTCTGACAAATCATTTTTAAATTTCCTACTTTGAAATCAGTGATAAAGGAAATTTTTAGATAGACAAAATTGTTTAGAAGGTACTATTAATTTTATAATTTAATTTTCAGTAGTTAAAACTAGTAATAGTCAGAAAAAACTTTAAAATAACTAATTGAAAGTGATGAAAGCACAAAAAACCCAAAAAAAGTAGTAAAAACATTTTTTGGTCAGGCAAAAATTGAAAAAATTAGTAATTTTAAAATTAGTAGTAAAGGTAATTTTTAGTCAGAAATAAGTAGTAAAAACCATTATTAGTCAGACCAAACTACAAAAAATAATTTCAATTTGAGTAGTAAAGGGAATTTTTAGTCAGACACAAATTTTTCAATCTATTAAAATTTTAGTGCAAGTAGTATAATACAGTGTAAGTCAGACTAAACATTTTTGTGAATATAGTAATAGTAAGAAAAATTCTCGTCAGGTTGGAAATATTCCAATTATTCGACATCAGTAGTAAAAAAAAAAGTTTTAGTTCTACTAAAATTGTTTATATTCTTATAA